AATATGTAAATTTTAATTATTAAAAATTGAATTGATTATCTATAGGAAGGGTTGACTTTTATTATTAGTTGACCAAAAAATTTTGATTTTGCAAAACAAATTGGAACGAAAGGGGTATGTATCTAGATCTTCTGCCTAGCAAAAGTGAAAAACAGTACACTAACAAATAAATTGTACGGAGCAAAATAATGTATAAATAGTCCGATAATAAAGTACTCCGTCACCGCCTCCGTGACAATAATATTTGCCATTTTGCCCGAACAAATACGATGTACGGAGTAAATAGTACTATGTATAATTTTGCTCCACGATCCAATATCTAAGAATTGATTAGTCAAACGCTAATCTTTTGAGAAGCCAATGGTATCAGTCAAAGCCCCTGACTCATCACGTACAATTCACGGACTAAGTACCCACCCAAATATCAAATCATCACAATTATATGAAAATCTCAAACGCTAAGGGCTTGTTTACTAATACAGATATTTTCCGGTTTTTTACTTCTGTTTTTTATTCTCCAATTTTTTGTTTTTATTTTTCAGTTTTTCTATCTTCAATTTTCTGTTTCTATTTTTTCAGTTTTCCATTTTCAAATCTGAAAACATGTTCATCAATTTTTTCATTCAGTTCTCTAATTTCACACCTTGACCCCTACCCCTACCCTTACCACGATCTTACACTCCACCCATACTCCCCCACAACCCTTCATACCCACCCATACCTACTCGTAGGTGTCGGGGGTAGTGGGTATGGGTGGGATAAGGGGTATGGTCGGGGTGGGGTGGGGTGGTAAGGTCTAGGGGGTAGGGAGTTGGGTGGGGGTAGTGGGTGGGTTAGGGTTGGGGTAGTGGGTAGGGTTGGGGTGAGGTAGGGGTAGGAGTTGGGATAGACATGGCAATGGGTCGGGGTGGGGCGGGTACTGCAAGACCCAGACCCGCCCCGTGACTTGGCGGGGCGGGTCCGCCCCGCCCCGTGACCTGCACAGGTCCAAACTTGTTGACCCATGACTCGCCCCATGCGGGGCGGGTCCGGTCCGCCCCATGCGGGGCGGGTCCGGTCCGCCCCGTCCCGCCGTTACCTAATTAGCTAGTATGTATTTTTATTTGTGGAAAGTTGTTACCAATTGAATCTACATAAAGTTTATCTCTAAATAATAATTAAAAATTAATATATAATATCAAATTCATGATACCCTACGAATTTCAAAAAATTAAGGAAAAATTACTCAGACTTGAATAACTAATCTATTTAATGATACCAATAATTGAACATATGTATTAAAATGTTATATATAAAGAAGTCATTGATAATCCGTCGTTCATCTCATTCTAATATATGTATTAATATATTATTAGATCAAAGAATTTATGATTTACTGTATACACACATATGTATGTTGAAGTATATTTGTAGTGTAATTTAAGAAAAAGTATGTATGTTTATGTATTGAGCGGGTCGGGGCGATACTAATACCCGGACCCGCCCCAAATGTCTCGGGCCAGGGCGGGTCACTGCGGGTCGGGTTTTTTTTGACATCTCTAAGTTGGGATAGGATGGCGGTAGGGTGGGGCCGGGACCAGGGTGGGACCGAGGTAGGGAAGGGGTAGGGTGGGGGGGTAGGATGGGCAGTAAGGGTGGGGGTAGTGGGTAGGGTTGGGATAAGGTATGGGTAGGGAGTTGGGATAAGGATGGCGGTAGGGTGGGGCCGAGGTAGGGGAAGGGTAGGGTGGGGGGGTAGGATGGCGGTGGGGGTAGGATGGCAGAAGGGTGGGGGTAGGATGGCGATACGAGGGTGGGGGGGTAGGATGGTGTTGGGGTGGGGCCGAGGTAGAGGGCGTGTGGTAAGGTATAAGATAGGGGTGGGGGTAGGGTAAGGTGGATCGGGGTGGGGCCGAGGTAGGGGCATGTGGTAGGGGGTGGGGTAGGGTCATTATAGGGGAAATGAGTACGCGGGGTGGGGGTTGGGTGGGTAGGGTAGGGTAGGGGTAAGGGGTAAGGTACGAGGATGGAGGTACCGAAATGGAATCGACATCGGGGCGGGACCGGACCCACCACTAGGTGTAAGTATGCAAATTCATTGCAATGACATTGTAATATTTGCGTTTTTCAAATTTGAAAAACTAGTAAAAGTCACTTCTCCAAATCATTAAGGAAAAGAGAGACATGTCTCATTTTTTCGTTTCGGAAAACAATTTGGTAAACACGTTTTTCTTTTTTCCTTTCTCCAGTTTTCCAGCAATTTCTTTGGTAAACACGTTTCCTCTTTTCTGTTTTCCAGTTTTCCAGTTTTCTGGAAAACTGAAAAATATCTTTGTTAGTAAACAGGCCCTAATCTTTTGAGAAGCCAATGATTCACGGACTCATCACGTACGATTCACGCCCTGATTCATTTTTATTTTATTTGTTATAGTGTGTTTGCATTCTTTGTGTAATATGTTTGATCTCTGAAAGTATTATATCAATTTTAAATCAAATGATAATATTTTTGGTAAAAAAACCGAAACTGAATCGAAACAAACCGAACCAATCAAACCATGGTTCTAAGTTTTGGAGTGTAAAACCGGAGCGAAACTGAACCGAACTATTTACTTTGATTCTATATTTGGTTTTAGATCAAAACCGAAGAATCTGAATTTTGTTTCAATGAGTATGGCTCTGGGATTGTACACTGTATTAATGGGCTGTAATGATTAGAAAGATGGAGTTGTTTCATTAGTGAAGATTCGTGCTCTAACTATTTTCGGCAACTTATCAAATTCGATCAATATTTTTAAATAATTTAGAGGTCTTGAGAGCATGTTTAATCATAATAATCATATAAGACACATTTTTCAAAATCAATAGAGTTATTACTTGAAGGTGTTATGTTTGATTAATTATTGTATCATGAAAGGGTTTGACATCATCTTCAAATGAAATAGTGACAAAAATAATAGAAGCATGGCAACAATGAACACTTGTAGCATAGGCGAATTTGAGCGCCGAAGAAAGGAAATTTGAGCGGCCAATTTGAATGGCAATGGCGTGTTTCGATTGCAGAGTTATGGTATAAGGCTATAAGCTTTGTGATGCGAATGGGGGTGGGGCAATGACGTTAGGGGGCGAGGGTGGAGGTTTTGACGAATTAGAAACAGGCTCCATACGTGAAAGGTGGGCGGGGGGGTGTGAGACGCTGGAGATTGCAGTAGGTTGCGGCTGTGGTAGAGGTGTAACTGATGGTGAGAAGAGATAAGTCTCTAGTGTTATTGACCTGGAAATATAGGTCACTTTTAAAACATAATGATGTAACTTTCACTATGAAGCGTGAAGTCTGGTGAATAAGGTATGGTCACTCAGGCAATGTCACTGGGCGGTGTGCGAGATGTGGTCATCTGATAAGTAAAATTCGATTGGTAAGCCCAGTACTAGGTGGTAGCATTAGAATCTTATACCCCTAGCCCAAAATTAGTTCATGATAAGTATGACACATTGACCCAAAATATCTGATGATGACTATTCTAATTCGATTAGTTTTAAAGCAATTAGGGTTGGTTGGGTACTACTTGGGTCTATCTAAAATCCAACGCAACACCTAGCCATTTGAAAGCCACCTTTCCATTGTTACCCAGGAATGTTCAGTCTAAGCCTATTTAGACTCTCTACTTTCTCTCCCAGTCCACACCCTACCCCACACCTTCAACCCACCCGCACGGTTGGCTGGCTATAACTTCCCCTCTATATATTCACACCCACAAAAAAGCTCTGTATCTCATCACCTCATCAAAGCTCAATACTCTTCTTCTTCTCACTACAATGGCGGCCGTCTCCACCATTTCCATGCTTGACTCCACCTTTGAGGCTGACAACCTCACCAATCAGATCTTTTCCATTCTAGAAAACAAGTTTCTTTTCGGGTGCAATGACCAGAGGAGTACTGATCCGTTGGTGATGTCATCCTTTCCCGGCGCCGGCAAGGTCCGAATCCTCTCCATTGATGCCTCCGGATCCACCGGAGGTGTCCTCGCCGCTAAATCTTTGGTCCGTCTCGAATCCGCCCTTCGGGCTAAATCCGGAAACCCGGATGCCCACATTGCCGATTTCTTTGACGTCGTCGCCGGCTCCGGCGTCGGCGGGGTCCTCGCCGGTTTCCTGTTCACCCGAGGAAAAGACGGGTCCCCGTTGTTCACTGCCGGGGAAGCTCTCAGATTTGTATTGGAAAATGGGCGGAGGATTTCGCAGCCGGAGCAGAGTGGGGTTTTCCGGCGAGCGTTGAAGCCGTCGAAGCTGTTCAAGAAAGTCTTCGGCGAGTCAACGCTGAAAGATACCCTGAAATCTGTTCTCATCCCCTGCTACGACCTCACCAACGGAGCTCCGTTCTTGTTCTCACGCGCCGACGCGATTGAAATGGACACGTGTGACTTCCTGATGGCGGATGTTTGCGGCGCCACCGTAGCTCACCGGGCGGTTGAGCTTAGGTCGGTGGACGGCAGGACGAGGACGACCGCCGTGGGCGGTGACGTGGCCATGAATAACCCGACGGCGGCCGCCATCACTCACGTGCTCAACAACAATGTTAAATGTCCCACACCGGAAACATTTGGATGAACAAAATGCTATATTAACACACGGGCTACTCCTCCTATCAGGTTGACCTTTTAGGATGGAACCCCGTGTCTTAACATGGTATCAGAGCCAAATCGATCCATGGTGTGGGGCCCCTTATGAAAATGATGACACGATTATAAAAATGGCCGGATGAAAAAAAAAAAACGGGCCGATGAAAAAAAAATGAATGATTGCACGATCCAGACGAAGTGTCTGGTCGTGAGGAGGGGTGTTAAATGTCCCACACCGGAAACGTTTGGATGAACAAAATGCTATATTAACACACGGGCTACTCCTCCTATCAGGTTGACCTTTTAGGATGGAACACACGGGGTTCCATCCTAAAAGGTCAACCTGATAGGAGGAGTAGCCCGTGTGTTAATATAGCATTTTGTTCATCCAAACGTTTCCGGTGTGGGACATTTAACAAACAAGCAGGAGTTTCCGTTCTCCGTCGGCGTCAATGATTTGCTGGTGGTGTCTTTGGGAAACGGAGAATCGGACTCCGGCACCGTCAATCTGACGCCGTCATCATTCGTTAAGATTGTTGGATGTGGAGTTTCGGACATGGTATGCCCTTTGCCTAATCAACTTTATATTATATTTAAAATAAAAACAATCAATAAATTTTTTGTAAGAATAAAACAATTATTGCTTTTTTATGTGTTAGTAACAACTAACAACCTGTTTAGATTTTATATGTTTAAAACATAAAATGGAATGATTTATGAACAATTATGTCTATTTAATTTAATTTATGTTCTCGTGAAATGAAATTTTAAGTAACAATCTATTTAGTGGATTAACTAAAATAATGCTCCATATTTGTTTGTTTCTTTTTTTGTCTTGTTTATTTCTTTTATTTCTTGTCATGTTTTTATTTAGAAAAGAAATTCTTAAAAATGACAAAAAATTGAATAAACTGTAAAAATAAGATTATACGAAGTAATATTTTTCTTTTAAAGTATGACTTTTTCATTTATAATGAAAGAAGAAACTTATGTCTACAAAAATAATTTTTATTATTAAAATAAAGATTATACGGAGTGTATAAAAATATGGTCACTGACTAGGATAACAACACAATCATAGTAACTTATGTTCAATATTTAAATTTATTTATCATGATACTATAATATAGTGACTATTAGTTATATTTATATAAATAAGTTTTATTTTAATAAAATTTACTCGTATGAAAAAACACTACCGAGTATGACAGAAATTGTATACTTTTAATAAATCAAAAGAAATTGCATATTTTATCTATATTTTAATCAAATGTGGCTTATTTTTTTCTTTGTCAGAGTATGACTTTTTTTTCTAATTTTTCTCCCAACTCACTTTCAATTTTAAACCTTTATACCAGAATAGTAATCACGTGAAAAGTATTCTTTTCTTTTTACCCATTAAAATCCACATATTCGATGCACCTCTGGAATGTTTGCAGATACTACAAAGATTTAATCAATTTAAAAGGACATTATTATAATTAATTATGTATTGGAATGGACAGGTGGACCAGGCAGTATTAATGGCATTTTCCCAGTCCGGCAGTAAAAGCAACTACATTCGTATTCAAGGCCAGGGGCATTTCGGGAAGAAGAAGAAAGACCGGAAATCGGAATCGGAATCCGCCATGGCAGACGAAATGCTGAACCAGAAGAGTGTGGAATCGGTCTTATTCCAAGGCAAGAAGTTGGCCCAAGCTTCAAATCTGGAAAAACTGGACAATTTCGCTTCTGAATTGGTGGATGAACAAGACCGGAGAAGCACGTGCGTTTTGCAGGCGGTGGTCCTGAAGCAAGCTGCCACGTCGGCGTCGTCTCCGAGGACTTCCTCCTCCACGATTTTATCCTCGAATTCGTCCTGTTAATTGCTTGTTAATCGTTATTTTTGTTGTCAATTATTAGGTAGTAGTAGTAGCTATTCGAGATAATTGAGTATCTACGAAAGCTACTTTAATTAATTACTTTAGGTTAGGCGTATGATTAGAGTTTGGTCGAGTAATTAGCTATTGATGAAGCGAGTTAATGTCTGTTTTGTGACTGTCATAGCTAAAATGAATTGTTTTATATAGAGCCTGTTTGGTAGCACCAAAATCGGCTGTTTTGGCTGATTCTGCTGAAATTTATGATGTTTTGGCTGATTCTGCTGAAATTTATGATGTTTTGGCTGGAGTGGCTGTTTTGGCTGATTCTGCTGATTTAAGAAGAAAATATTTTAAAAATATATTTTATTAATAAAATAAAGAAAAAATTATATGTAAAAATAGCTAAAATGGTCATCTACAGTAACTTCAGCCAATACAGTCAGAAAAGTAACTCCAACCTTACTTTTTCAGCTTATTACACAATTCAGCGCGCGAAAGTAAAAGTTACGTGTTTGGTGAAAAAGTTGGCTGATAAGTCTGATAAGCCGAAAACAGAGGTCTCCAAACGGGCTCATAGTAAAACTCAATTTTAAAAAGCTGATGTGTTATTATCTTATTCGCCAAAAGAAATTATATTAACACTGCTAATAATAACGTCCAAAATGAATCTCAAATTGCGCTGAAATAAAATAAAGCAGCATCTCTATACAGTTGTATAGCACTACACCACAAACTTGGGAAAAGGTGCAAATAGGCCCATGTACTAACCAAAAAAGGTCAAATAAGCCCTTATTTAGGAGGCTATGTCCGACCGTCGCCATTTGGGTTGGTTCCCGGTGGAATTTTTTGATGAAATTTTTTGAGCATCTTATTCATTAAGTCTAGTTTACTCATACCAAATTTCAGCTAAAACTTCAACCGGGAAGGAATTCAAATGAATTCTTGAAAATAACTGCACAGTTAAAAGCGCAGTTATCTTCTAGAATTCATTTGAATGCCTTCCCGATTGAAGTTTTAGCTGAAATTTGATATGAATAAACTACACTTGATGAATAAGATGCTCAAAAAAGTTCATCAAAAAATTCCATCGGGAACCACCCCAAATGACGACGGCCGGACAGAACCTCCTAAATAAGGGCTTATTTGACCTTTTTTGGTTAGTACGTGGGCCTATTTGCACCTTTTCCCCCACAAACTTTAATTACTTTTCAAACTTATTTCTCATAATAGGGTAATTTTTTTTCACCAACTGACCATCGTATTAATTCACCAAATCATGTGCCAGAAGGCTTACAATAGTGTCAGGAATAACATCATAACAACATAACTGATCTGGGATAGACACATGTTCTCTTGCTAACGAGCTACACGATTCGCAGATCGCTTACAAAAAGAGATAATAACATTACTATTATCTTTCATCAAATATATAATATCCTCAATAAGAAGGAAAAGGTAAGAAGTTCCTCCCCCATTTTTGAGCCCTTGGACCACAGCGAGAGCATCAGTCTCAATCTCCACGTGAGACCATCCTGCTTCAGATGCCCCAATAATTGCCTCGTGAATGCCCACCGCCTCTGACTCCACAGCCGACCAGCTAGCAAGCTCTGAGCCCCCCTTTGCCTTTAAAAAATTACCGTGGTGATCACGTGCAACCCATCCCCAGGCACGAACATTCCTGTCTTCATCCACCGCCCCATCCACATTTATCTTGATATAACCAGCCCGCGGACGCTTCCAAGCTGTCACCGTACCAACATCTTTCCTTACCTGCCCAGTTCCTCCAATACCTTGAGCATCTCTCCAGCTCGAAACAATTCCCGCCGCCGCATTTATAATCCCCACAGTGCCTTGCCATCTATCCTTCCAGACACAGCCATTCCTCCTCTTCCATAAGCTCCACAAGATAGCAACAAATCTGCGACGATCCTCCCCATTCGGCCCACCTAAATGATGCCGAATCCAAGTGTTCACAGAGCCCGTCGGATTGCCCAAATCAACTCCTACCTGCCTCCAAACCTCCTTTGCATGGTCACACAGTCGAAAAACATGCTCCGTTGATTCATTGTTATCTCCGCATCTTTTACACCCTTCAAGTACCTGCACTCCTTTTTGCCTTAGATTATCAACCGTAGGTAGAGAACCATCAATAACCTGCCAAGCAAAAAAATTGAGCTTCGGCGGGACATGCAAATCCCATAATCGAGCCCAATCAGAACCATCCCCAGCCTGCAAGTCTCCTGTAAGTAAACGGTAACAGCTCTTAACTGAAAAAATACCGTTGTTCTAAACTTATTTTCCATAATAAGGTATTATCGTATTTTGAGAAATAAGTTTAAAAGTACTAATTGAGAAATAAGTTTCAAAAGTACCTCTTTTCAGGAAAAAAAATCGCAATAGGACTCAACCCTGCCACACGCTTCAATAAAACATAGCTGCACACATACTCCTAGGTAATTAGGTATATTACAACTGAACTCAAAAGGATCAAATAAAACATAGCTACACACTTCCACATTTATTACAACTCAAATTCTTGCTTTATATCCTCTAGGATTGTATACGAACCGAATCGAGTCGAATAATAAGATTTTGTATTTCTATTTGTTTAATTTTTTCGAATATGAATTTGAATTCAAATATGAAACGAATAATAATTTCGATTTGTATTTGTTTAACAATACGAATAGTTAACGAATCATATACGAATATCAAATCGATTTGAGCAAAGATTAAATATTAGTCAAATATCACTTTAAAATTTTCTTATATTTCGTATTTTATACTGTAAATGCATGCTATGACTTAATATGTGTTTTTAGAATTTAAACTTAATGGATCAATGCATTTTTAGATGGTGCACAATATACTAAAGTGAATTAGTTTTATGATTAATAAATATAAATCTATTTAAAACTTTTAGAAATAAACACTAACACACCCATTAGAAATTATACTTATAATGTGTGAAATAAATTGATAATTGTATATACCAAAGTCAAACAAGTCTAATTTTACTCTTCAAATCGAATACATAATTATTTGTATTTTATTTGAAAGAATTTGAACCAAAAAATTGATTTGTATTCGTATTTATATTCGAGTTTATTACAAATGGGCTTGGAATCTGTATGCAAAAATGTATACATAGGATACACTTTGAATGTATTGCTATCTTTTAAAAGTTATTGTGGTGTTATTATTATTATTATTATTAAAATTAATATTACCATTATTATTAATCGAATATGTTTGATTAGTATTCAAATCGAACACACTGGTATTCTTATTTGTATTTGATAACAACTCGAATCAAATATAATATTCTTATTTGTATTTGTATTTGAATTTTTGGGATTCGAATCGGGTTAATTCAAATTGGGTTCATTTCTACATATATAACTCACATATGTGTTCATACTGATCATAAGTTCATTTTTTCTCAAGAATTGAGAAACTATTTCTCAAAGTAACAGAGCGGTTAACACAAAGCAGTGACCCTCACAAATCTAAAGATGACATTTTCTTCACCAGTATCACAAAATACCAATCAACCCATTGTTTGAGATTATATTAAAGAGGTAAATAATTACCATTATATTATACAATACTAATGCACAAGATCTTTATTTGGACAAACACTAGCACATAGGCAGCTAGCTATATGTGTAACATCCTCAAAATTTACACATTTTAAAAGTTGAAATTAAAGTAATCATATAAGTAATTAAAACTATAAAACCAAAATTAGAAATTAATATTTCTCATTGATGTTTAAGTAATTTAAATTACACTTATGATGTATTGGTACGGTGTATTACACCTATATAGACGTTAGTTTAGGAAATGTGAAAATAACAATAATATTACTAAGAAGTAAAGTGGTCAAATGTAATACGACAAGTGGCTAGGTGAATTGTTTATGAAATTGTCACTATAAAATTGTTTTATTAAGTACCTATATGCATGACATATGGACACCTAGTTATCCTATATATTAAACTAATACATATGGATATGCATGCTTACACGTGTATAAGAAATGCATGCACATATACATAGGTGAATACACATGGCCAGACACTAAAGAAAAGAACAGAAGTAACATGCAGTAATTAATCATGCATGCATATGAATACAAACAGGTAGCTTTGATTACTAATAAATACAGAGTGTGTAAATCAAGGATAAATATATAGAGTAGCAAGTCCAATTGCCGGTAGTGAGAAATACTTCTCTGTAGTTAGCCGGCCAATGTGATGAACAAGAAAAAAAAAATTAGGGACACGGCCAAGAGAAGAGATGAAAGGAGATGAGATGAGAAGAGAATAAAAGGTTATGAAAAAGGGAGAAAATCTTGCTACAGGTTTAAGGTCTGTGTTCATTCCTTCTTTTACCCTAAATTTACGTTAAATTATATTGTATGTTATTGTTCTAAATTTTGTAGTTATATTTGTTTCTAAAGGTTGCTATTTATCTAAACGCTTAAGGTTTAGTTTATGGACTCTTCTACTAAATGCTTTTAATGAAACGTCTTCTAATCTGGAATATCAAGACATGACTCATTTTAATATTCCATATTTTAATTAAGTATACGTATGTAAAATTAAAAATAGACCATATGTATTAACAAGACAACTAATGAATATATGAACTTTGAACTATACTCAAATGATGATTATCAATATCAAATGTAACAAGATTTGAATATTATTAAATCCTCCGTATAAGGATGTAAATCTCAACTTACGACTTATACGTAGTATCTAGTAAGGTGGAGTTTAGTGTTTAAAATAACATGAACTAAAATATTTATAGTAATTTATGTAACACCTATTAAACTCAAATATATTACTTATATCTTTCTAGATATAAGTAATTTTTGGTTGGTTATAACGATGATGTCATTTTTTTTATGGAACCTGATATCCATAATAGTAATCATTCATACATGCTTAATTCAAGTAAATAAAAATAAATGGAATTCGAAATCTTGTTTCTGGATTCGGATAAGTTGGCATGCCAATAGGGATAAAAACACGGCCGTAGAATTTGATCAATGATTTTGGGTCCGTAGCCACCGAGTGGACAGCACCCAAATCTTGATATTTGACACATGCGCGCTTCTATACGGGTCCGTAGCCACCGAGTGGACAGTACCCAAATATGTTCGTTTACGGGTCCGTAGCCACCGAGTGGACAGTACCCAAACAAACCCCGGCCAGAGCCACCGAGTGGTCCGT